ATCTTGCGCAGAGAGCGAGCAAAAGAGGATCATGCTCCACAGAGAGTCATGCCTTTTCGAAGTGACACAAACAAGCTCTCAATCGCCGCCTCTTTTTCTTCACTGACCTGCCTTAATCTACACTGACTCCCGAAAGTATGCAGCAATTTGGCAAATTAATTCCAAATAATTGAAAGAAACAGAGACTAGCCTTTGAGGCCTACCCCGAAGAGTTTCTGGAAAACTCAACGAATAAAGATTTACGGCTGTATTCGGGCACTGTTTACCCAACTATTCACACTGTAAGTAAATCCTGTCGAATGTTTGCTGTTACCGAACACTTTCCAAACATCACCTGGCAGAGTGTATTTATTTTTTGCAAAAATATGTTTATATCTTTGCACGATGCCATTACTTTGTTGCCATCGTTTGATAATTTATTGAATAACACGTTTGCCACTTATATTTATCTGTGAAAAGATTCTTCAGTGTACTTTATAAAAGCAAACAGCAAAAAGAGAATTTCCGTCAACGCAAACCCAAGCACTATCTAAGCTGTGCACTTTTGAAAAGGCTGCAAAGGACGGCCCCCTTATCTGCCAAGATATTCCGCAATTACAGAACAAATACATACATACGTACATATGTAATACGACTGCATATTGTATATACATACATATGTACCGTGTATGTACATACATATGTGCGTGTTGATATTTAAGTCCAAAGTAAATTAATTGAATCAGCAACAAAATACAAAGCGCTCTAAAATACGAGCCCAATAAAGTTGTAAAAAATAAATCGAATTTATATTACACAAATATTTGGACGTCTGTAAATACAGATGTACATGTATGTACACAATGGGTATAAAAAGTGCCTGTCTGCCACAATGCCACGGAAGTGATTAAATTGAAAAAAAAAATACTCAAAAAGAGAGAGAGAGAAAAATAAAATTGAATCGAAATTAACGAAAACAATAACCAAAAGAAGCAGAAAAAAAAAGGGAAGGCAAACCCCAACCGATGACCACAAAACGTTTTGTGATTCATAATTTCGATTCAAATTCGATTTGTTTTGTACAATTTATATACCGTTGCAGAGGATATTACGATTTTCCTCAGATGTTTGGCACAAAGTGAACAACGTGGCATGATAGGCATGCTCTCCTCACAAAATCTATGGAAAATATCAAGATTGGATCATTATATCATATGTTCTATATAGGAGCTGCCGTCCAAAAATAAGGGTGATTCGCAATCAATAATAAAAAGTATTGCAGGTTGCTTGAAGCTTCGACAAACTTGATTTAACTCAAAGCCCCCATATCATAGAGTCGCCATAGAAATATGTAGATAAGAAAGAGTATGTGAAGCTCCAGGTCCCCTTTTGTTCTTGTTGTTCTCTGTTTTTGTGTGTTCTGTATATGTACACGTTTTGTTTTTTTTTTTGTAGAATTTTTCGTGAGTGTGCGTGAGCTTTTTTTGTATTAAAATAAGTTTTTTTTTGTTCTGTTAATTGGTTAAAAATAGAGGTCGTATAACTCTTAATTTTTTTTCTCTTTGTTTTTGTTGGTTTTGAAGGCGACATAAATTTATTTGGAAACCTTGACGAAATAAATATCAGAACAAATAAATAATAGAAGAGAAACGAAACGAAACGAAACGAAAAGAAGACGGCAAGAATTTTCAACTTTCCAACGGTTTTGTTAGCGGTGGGGTGTGTGTAGGGTGGGGGGTATATTTTGAGTGTGTTTCTCGTATTTTATTTTATTTTATTTTCTTTTGTTTTCGCTTGCCTTTATTCAACGGAAATAGTTTTTATCTTCCGTTCTCCGTCTCGGCTCTGTCCCATTCTTTTCATTGATTTCAATGCTTTTTACTATTGTTATTCTTATGCTTTTGCCTTTGTTTTGTTTGTCTTTTGCCCCACTCTTTTTTACCCGCTCGTCTCCCGTTTGCACCATTATTCGCTCTAAAGTTATCAGCAAATTTTCCTAACGTGTTCTCTCTCTCTCTCTCACTCTTGCACACACTAACTCAAATAAATAAATGTACAAACAAAAAACATGTACATAAAATTTTTTGGTTTCGTTCTTAATTATAAATGTGCACTGATATCGGGGCCAAGCACCCTTTTGGGGCCCTATTAAATGGCATACAAATAGTCTGCGATATTCCGCACCCGTACCCTAGACCCCTATAAGGAAAACGAACAACATAATATACTTTTAGCTCTTCAAAATCTTCTTTTCACGTATTGCAAACGTGTTCATAAAACTATCGTACTTCCCTCCCCCAGAAAAAAAAAAAATACAAATTCCATACCATTATCTTCAGGCTCTCTTTTTTTGCTTTGCTAAATCTTTTGTTTATCTTTTCATTATTTGCTGAAATTCTTGTACGCATTTTACTCAGGCGTTTTCTCCGTGTCCTCCCCCCCCCCCCCCCCCCCCCCCTTACCACCCCACCATTCCAGCTAAAAAACAAATTGCTTTTCTTATTTTCTTATTAAGTACAAAAAAATAGTTCAAACAAACTGGAAATTTGCGTAAGACAAAAAACAAAGAAAAAGAAGAACAAAAAAACTTGCACACAAATGGAAATTAAACTAAAATATTTTTTGTGACAACAACAATTTGCTGGCTAAATTTATTACGCAAAGTGTGCAAAAATACAGAATAAATAACAAAATACATAGCTTTAGAAAACAATATTCGTGTCAGAATTTGTGTAGTTTTGTTTTTGTTTTTGTATTATTTCCGCTGTTGTTTTCTCGTTGGTGTTTTTGTCGAATGACACAAAAATAAGTGACCGGCAGGCGCGCTATGGCGGTAGAAAAAGTTGCGTTGCATCGCATACAAAATATATGTATGTATACCAATATTTTTAATAATTCCGAGAACATTTCCATCCAACGATATCCAAGTGAAGCAAATAAGCGATCTGGCAAGCACGCCCTCTACCCCACGGCCTTAACCTCCACCTGTGACGCGTGCTGACCTGCTCTTGTTTAGGCTCTCCCCTCACCTCACCTCCCCACACCCGTTGCTATTTTTTCTGTTGTTTTGGGCATTGAACTTGAAATTTTGCCGAAGAGAGGAATATGCAATTTAGCTGTGGGAGAGAGAGAGAGGCCCATGTGGGCACGCACACACAAACACACACGCACCCATCGATGCTGCTGCTGCTGCTGCTGGCGATGGTGCGACCAACAGATTGGTGTCGTCGCGACTTGGCCTGGGGCCCCCACTCTCCTCTGTCTGTCTATCTCTATCTCACTTGCGCTTCCTCTCGTTTGGCGCAGCAGGCGAATGTCGCTGTGAAAACAAAAAATCTAATAAAAGTGCGGACAAAAACAAAACGCGAACACAGGCTAGTCACATCTGATGGAAGGTAAGGCAAATGCAAAAGAACGGCCTCTAATTTCATTCAGAAATCAGAATGTGTGAGCCAAACAGATCGCGAGAGAATGAGAGAGGAGAGGCTCGGCTACCCGGTGTGCGGGTCTGGTCCCACCTTTTATGTAATATACCTTGGCTAAGCACTGAATGGCAACGAACGGGGCATCGAGCAGAAGGAGCAACAGAAAAAGCCACCGCAGCAGCAGCGCAGCAGCAGCGAAAGGCAAATGCGATTTGCAATTTTAATTTTTGTTCATGTTTTTGCTGTTGCTTTGCTGTTTTTTTTTTGTTTTGTTTTTGTCTCATATAATTAAAGTTGTAAAAATGAAGTGCACTGAGAGATGATAAAGAAGCGAAAGAGAAGGAGAGAGAGAGGTAGAGAGAGAAGAAACGGCAAAAAAGAAAAGTAAATTCGCAAATTGCTTTTGCGTTTGACGCGGCGCCTCTCTGCTCCAAAGGCGGAAATGCTGATGGGCCTCTCTCTTCCCCTAATAATTGACACAGCAGCACACAAAAAACCGAAAGAGAAACACAGATAAGCCTAGAAAAAACAACGGTAACACCTCTCCTCTTATCCGAAGCTGACATACCCTTCCCTTCCCAACGTGTTGCGCACTTTTAAAACCTTATATCAAAAGCCTTATATCAAAACAAATGAATTAATCCTGAGAGAAAAGCATGGAAGCATTGTACATAATGCATTTATATATTCCATTGGGTTGCGAAAGGTCTTTTATGGAATCTGTATATATTCGAACCATTTTTATCAAACGAATAGTACTACCCGTAAGGGTATCCAAAAATCCCCAAAAGTGGACCCATACATGACCACAACAATAGCCAGTGCAGAGGATGGAAATTCGTAAAGTTTTTCTATTTGCGAGCTGTTTTTTTCCATTTGTTTTGGTATTTTTTTTTGTATTTGTGATTGTGGGCCAGCAGCAAAATTAATTACCAACTCACCTTACTCACAAAATACATATGGCAGCAAACAACAACAACAAAATAAATGTAAATTACTTTTTTATTTGTTCTGTTTCTTTTCTCTGTGGCCAAACGAATTTAATTAATTAATTTTTTTGTCGCTTGTAATTTTTTAAAATTAGTCCTGAGCTTGTGTTTTTTTTCTATTAAAAAAAGGATATAAAAAGTGCGTTGCAAGAACATTAAATGATTTTCTGGGAAATAATTGTATTTTTCAATTCTGTCTTTGTTTTTTTTATATTTATCATGATGATATTTATTGGAGGAAAAAGAAAACCCCGCAACAAAAAAGCAGCTGGCAAAGTCAACAAACCCGGAAACCCCGGGGCGCTGCTGAGAACAATGGGACTTTTTATTGTAATAATTTGGTGGGGGGTTTTATTTTCAACGATATAACAAACAAACAAAAAGTCCCAAAAATTGGACACAACATTTGCAAAAATCACACAAAAACGCACACAAGACAAAACAATAAACCAAAGAAGAAAACAAAAAAGAAGTTGAACACAAATAAGGCATAATTTTTGTTTAGCTAAAAATAAAACTTTTCTGAGGTTGTTTTTTCAGTTTTTTGTCTCTCTTTCTCTCTCTCTCTATTTTTTAGCACATCAAAATAAATAATTTGTTTTCTCACCTTTTCTTTATGGCTTTTCGCGTTTTGTATTTTTTGGGCTGTTTTTTTCTGCTTTTCGTTGTTGTTATTATTGTTGTTGTCTTTATTTCTTTTTATTCTTTAAATTTTTGCACAGGAAGCAGAACTTAAGAATAAATTGATTCATTCATACATTTTCCCTCAAGTTTTTCTCTTCTTTTTGTTTCACTTTTTGTTGGAATCTCAAAAAAAATGCACGAAAAAAACCATTTTGTCAGCGCGCGCTTTTTGCTATCAAAAGTTGTTAACGGTACAGCAATATCAAAAAAAGTAACGAACGGTTTCGGTTGGATTCTCAGAACTCTTTTGTTTTGGGGTTTTGGTTTTGCCGCCGACGCGGCGCTCTCGTGTCCGACGTGGAGACGCACTTGACGGGAAAAGTTGGAGACCAGTTGGGAGCCAACTGAATCGCGTTCGCGTGGGCCGGTCCAGCTGTGTTTTGTTTTGAGCCAAAATATGCGATGCCAGGCCGTCAGAAAAGCTTTTTAAACAGCTGTTGCTTACCTAGTTGAAGAGCTTTCAACCATAATGGAATGATGTGGCAGCGTTGGGCAGAAAGCACGCAGTGCCGTTTATCGCAAAAAAAGTATCAGCTATTAATATATTATCGATATATTGTTATATCGTCCCTTCCTCTTTTCAAATAATTGTATTTATAAAAATCTTAAAAGAGAGCCAAATACATTCCACGCCATTGCTGATTGCCGACGGTTTTTTTTTTGTTGTTTTATCGCAAGCAGCTGCAGGCAAAAGATGAAGAGCTGAAGCAGAGTTACATATCATATTTGATGAATGTATTGATGGGAATAAGAGTACATATTTGTGAAACAGTTCTCTTTCCCCTAAAAGACACGTTGCTGTCAAGAAGATGCTCAAGCAAGTACAACATATGCATATGATGTTCAAGATTCTTCCTTAAAATTTGTACCAGTGGTCGAAGCATCGAAAGGGTCTGATTCAGCTTCTCATTCAACAGGTGCGTTTCCTACGCATTTAACTCGTTCCGGAGTTAATTCATAAGCTTTATTGATTTCAGGAAGCGAAAGGCACCAAATATCATATTGAACGTAAGGTGCGACGACGTCGTGCCAAAGGACCAATTGAGTTCCAAAGCATCCAGGAGGAGATCGCAGATGATTTGTTGTTGTAAAAGGACAAGACATAAAGAAGGAAGCAGCAAACTTGGAGCAGGAGACTTTTCTGGAAAATTCTGAACAAAAGGAGGAAGGAACGTGCATCTACCCTTTCCAGAGCTGCAGAAAATGTAAATAAGCTATCGATCTTCCTGTTGCAGTGGCATTACCGCATTACCATGGTATTCTATTGGCCCTACAAAGTAATTGATATCACAGATTCCCCACCTCCTCTTCCAGTAGTATGGGCTGCATGGTTCAGATTCAGTCTTGAATTCGTTGGAAGACATGGAGAGCTGCCTCTCCATACTCCGAGGCATGTTTTACACGCGAAATCAATTGAATCTTTTAATCTATACATATATCTACTTGAAACACAAGTACTATCGTCCATTCACAGCCCATCGGGTAGCCCGTACCAATTCTTTGTGCGCCTGAAGAGTGTCAGCTTGGAGCTATATACCATATACCATATATCTGTATCTGTATCTGTGGTGGGCTGTCGGCCACAACAGATGGTGTGTCGTCTGTATGCCAGGTAATTTATAATATATAGCTTTATGGAACCATATTCATTTGAATTCTCTTCTCTGTATAAGAACTTTTATCGCCTCCAGCCGATCGCAAACGAGCCATAACCATTATGGCTTCTCCCTAGTGGCTGGCAAAAACCCAATCTTACTCATCCATAAACGATTCGTCACTACGCCATTTGGGATTGCTAAGCTCTTGGAAATGTTTCTAACCTCCATGGCATGGCCCGACCTCTGAGTGCAACTGGTCTATCCGGGGATCTACAGGAATGTCTTCCGCGGAGTGCTCCAACTGGCAAGTGGTGTTTGGAGGGGCTGTGTACAAGTCGAAGTGGGTACAGTATGTTGGTGCCGTCGAAATCAAATGAGAATTTTGCTCTGATTTTGGCTGGCATTTGTTTATGATACCCGATCGAGCGGTTGTCGATGGGGTGCTTCGGCTTTGGCAACATTCAATTTACGCACAGTTTGTGATAAGATAAAGTACCACCGCCCCACCACCGACTGCTCACCCATTGGTTCCACTATACTCATATTGCTAGGTACTCCCATATAAAGCAATATCGTCTGATTTCGAACTAGCCTTGCCGGGTCCGGCCCCGCGGAGCTCATTGCAGTGGCTCGATTCACGAAATTCGGTCGATAATTGCGGTTAAATTAAAACTTTCTCCGGTTCTGCATCGGGGCACGATCTCTCTCTGTCACTTCTAGACATTGTTATTTTATTGTTTTTTTTTTTGTTATTTGTTGTTGTTGTTGTCGTTTTGTAAGAGGAATGCATATGCATCCCTTGTGGTTCGGTGCCTTAGTGGCGGTGATAACGCTTCTTGGCCCCACAGTTGCCTCCACTGAAAGTGAGTCACGGAGTTTTTTTCCTTATCATACAATGATAGTTGGCTCGGTATTTGGTCTCCATTGATGAGTGCTGTGTTTGATGAATGTGCGTTAGGAACATTCAAAAATAATAGCAAAATGTGTGTGGCAAAATAAATGTGCATTTGGTATATAATTTTATAAAATATATGATATCAAATCCCGTTGGATTGCGCTCTCCACTGTCGAATAGGGATAGATAATAGAATACCTTTCTATCCTTGAGTGCATGAGTATTATCATAAGTTCAGTACTTAGTTACGGGTAATATAGTATATACCACATCGATCAACCATTTGCCCAACCTAGCAAAAATTGTAGCTTGTAGATTACTAAAGGGAGTCCCCGCAAAAACAGGAAATTATTTGTTTTTAAATTCATTTATTAAGAAGAAAATTAACCTTCTTAAAAACAATGCTTAATAACAGAAAAAAAGAAAAATTAACCAAAATATCCTACAGTCCCACAATTTCCAAGGCTCTTGAGTACTACATATATTCCATATCAATTAATACAATGTAATAGCTTTGATGGATGGAAAATTATGGCAGGTTACAGCACCAATGGATACCCAGATGGACTTGGTTCTCATCCACAGATAATCAATTATATGCCTTAAAGATTGTATTCTCCGATTGTGATCACTTGCAGGCAACTCCACCACCCAGATGCTGCAGCCAAAGATTGTGGGTGGAACGGCCATCGACATTAAAGCAGCCCCGTACCAGGTCTCAGTGCGTCTGACGTCCAGGGATAAACGCAAGTTCGGTTCGGGTCATATGTGTGGCGGCGTGCTCATCTCCCAGCGCTTGGTGGCCACGGCCGCCCACTGTTGCTACAAGTAGGGTTGGACCTTCCCTTCCAGCTGGCGTACAGCTTTTAATGGTTAGTTTTTCCTCCTGATTGCAGCTCAGACACGAAACAATATCGAGCGGCCGGCGAGTACGTGCTGGTCTTGGGCACCACCTATCTGGGAACCAAAACGAATGAGACACTGGTGTATTACTTGCAGCAGCTGATCGTCCACAGCAGCTACGACCACGGGACGCTGACCAACGACATTGCGCTGATGTTCATCAATGGCTACGTTCCCTGGACGTGGCCGACAGCGAGGGCTCTGACCCTTAACGATCAGTCCCTGGCTGTCGCCACCGCGTGTGTGATCACCGGCTGGGGAGTTCTCATCTCTGTGGGTTGACGTTGTCATCACCGAGTTTCGTACATCTTTCATTATCCGAATCTTTAATTGCAGGGCGGCTCCAGCAGTAATACGCTGCAGACGGCCACGGTGCCGACGGTCAGTTATCCAAACTGCTACTTGGCCTATCCCCCGTACGTGCCGAGATCACAGATCTGCGCCGGCTACACGACCGGCGGCTTTGATGCCTGCCAGGGCGACTCTGGTGGACCGCTCATGTGCAACAATCGGCTGTCCGGTCTCGTCTCCTATGGGGATGGCTGTGGCAAGCCCAATGTACCCGGCGTCTACACCAATGTGTCCTATTTCCACGATTGGATTGTCCAGCAGAATAGCTCGCTCAATTACACGATCTACCGCAATGGCGCGGACGGACGTAGCGGAGGGCGGCTCGGCTTTGTGCTGCTGTCCGGCATCTTTGCAGCCGCCGCTGGATCACTGCGGATTAGGGGGTAACGTGACTGGGAGGAAGAGGATCTGCCTGTAGGACTATCACGATTTTAAATAGTGTTATTTATGTAGCAAATAAAATAAATGAATTTACTTAACAGGCAGGGGGGCTTGGCGCCGGAATTTTAAGTGCGAGCGCAGCTCACTTCACGCTGCTGAATATCGATATGTCGTTGGGTGCCTATCGATATAACATCGAGTCATCTGTCAGCTGCCGGGCAGCTTGAAACAAATTTTTGTCTATTTTTGAGTTAAAAAGCTGAGCTAAGAAAAAGTGCGGTGAGGATTTGTATGGAATTGCTACGATCTCGTTGGAGATGGACATACCTTGGCAGCTGCAGGTGCTCTTTCAGATGCTTCTATCGTGGACATTGGTGGCCAACGGGCATCTTGAGTTCCCATTCCTCTCCCTGAGCACTGGCCACACCTCCTCACCACACAACGAGCCCTCCGACGCAGGCAAGTTCGTGATCCTACCGAAGGTGGTAGGCGGCTACTCGATAACGATCGCACAGGTCCCGTTCCAGGTGTCGGTGCGTCGGCGGTCCATGCACGAAAGGACCTACGGACTGGGCCTCATCTGTGGTGGGGCCTTGATCTCGCAGCGGGTGGTCTGCTCGGCGGCCCACTGCTTTGCCGTGTGGGTACAACCTCCAGACCGAGTGCCAGAGTATCAGTCTCACCATACCTTCCATCCATCATAGAAACAACTCGTACAATCCGGTGAGGTTTTACGGGCCGAAGCTGTTCGTGGTAGTGGCGGGCAGCACACAAATCGACCAAGCCGACAGGAACACCAAGGAGTACCTGGTGCAACAGATCATCGGTCACAGCGACTACAATGCCACCACGCTGGAGAACGACATCGCCCTGATCTTCCTGAACGGCTACGTATCGTGGTCGTCGAAGACCGTACGAGCCATTCCGCTGGCCACCAAGGCGCAGCGCGAGGGCACCACCTGCCTGATCAACGGCTGGGGTAAGGTCACAGTGGTACGTTCGCATGCATATTCGCCATTTTCCGCTTCCTCATTCAGCTGCGAAAATCTCTCCGAAGGTGGGCAAATCGGGGTCGCTGCAGCAGGCGCCGGTACCCATCCTGAACCCGAGCCTATGCAGGGCCATCTACTTGCTGCCGATGTCCCAGCTGTGCGCCGGCTTCATGCAGGGCGGCATCGACGCCTGTCAAGGTGACTCCGGCGGCCCCCTTATATGCGATGGCCAGCTGGCTGGCATTATCTCCTGGGGCGTGGGCTGTGCGGATCCCGGCTTCCCCGGAGTCTATACGAATGTATCGTATTTCGTGGATTGGATCCGATCGATGAACGCCACGCTCGACTACTCAAAATACTTGGTGATGGATTCCGCCGATGGCCGCCGGCTGGCCACTAGTCCCCAACGGACCTGGTGGCTGGCCTTGGCATTTCTGCTTATCGCTCTCAGCGGGGGCTGATGTGGGTGATGGCCGAAATATGGGGATGTTGGACACCAATAATAAAATCATCCAGCTTGTCTATTCTGTCATTTGTTAATCTAATCATGCCCGAGGGCAAGGCACCTGTGCAGAACACTCAATCACCTCCAGCACTTATGTATATGTATGTGTAGATTGCCCAACCACTGACGTACACGAACAGATACAGATACAGTAATCGAATTGCCGAATGACTAAAGGGTGACACAATAACCATTTATAATCACCCACAAGGACTGGGAGTGGTGCACTGTGCTTTATACAAACACACTTGACCTCATAAACATCGAAGATCAACGACCGAGCAATTGTCCATTAGACGATAGACCTCTAAAGCCTATCGGAAGCTATCAAGGTAGACATCGTTTTGAGATATTGACAATCGCGGTTTTGGATATACATGTCTATAATATTCTTTCCGGATAACGGCATTCAGTTTATATGTTATCTAATGATATGCCAAATCAAACAATAATTATCTCATAATATACAGCCAGTACCAAACTTTTTCTGGTTTACCGAATACCGCCGTTTCCTTTGCTGTCACGTCACCCCGAACCTCTCCTCAATATCTTTAGTATATATTTGTTGTTATTGATTTTCTGAATATAGTAAATTGTTTATTTGCCCAGTTACGTAAAGGTTAATAATTTATTTTGCCTACACGAGTACATGGCACACAATTAAATGTGGAGGTTTTAATTGAAAAAATGGACAACACTTTTGATAAATTTAGAGAGGTAGATGCGATGGTAACCACTTCCTGAAAACTTTACCTGCAGAAAATGAGTTTTTCGGTTGGAATTTATAAATCGGAACGGATTTGAGACGCTTTATTAAGAATCGCATTGTAATTTTCCCACTTTGAAGAGTGTCATAAATCTGGGGTAAGCCCAAAGATTGCGCTACGGAAAATCCAAAGTACCGGTAGCACTCAAGTCAGCTCCAAACAGCACTGGAGGACGGAGGAGGAAGTTTTGCCAGTCAGTTGTGGCCCGGATGGGAATGGAATGTCTTTGGACTTGAACGATGACTACTGAATGTGCACCGCTCCGCTCTGGCCTGGCCCCGCCGAAGGGTTGATTAGATTATGATGCTCATGCAGTAGTAGTAGTAGTACCAGATTTATTTGGTGCAGATATCATTTGGCCTATCGATGGTCTATCATCGTGTCGATCGGCTCCAATCCGATCCGCTGTTTCTGTTCGGGTTCGGCTGCGTTTCCGCCCTGGTCCGTGTCCCATGCCCCAGGCCCATGCCCATCCATTAGTTTGGATTGCCACGTCGGGCAGCTAACATCGCAAAAATGGTTCAGAGATCGGGACAGCTCTGGGCGACATTGGCAATTATCTGCCTGCTGCCCTGGGCCCTGTATGGTTCGCTCAATCGACACACCTCCCGCACTCCACACTAACATGAAACTAATCCTCCAGGTGCCTCGGTGCCAGCTGCTTTCGAGGAAAGAGCGATTCGTCCTCGCTTCGATGTGGATCCGGGTAGGATTATCAATGGAACTTTGGCCACAATGGAGGCCACCAGGCATCAGGTGGGCATCAGGAGGGCCCTCAACGATGGCTACTACTTTGGCACGGGTCACATCTGTGGGGGATCCTTGATCCGCAGCAACTGGGTGCTCACAGCAGCCCATTGCTTTGTGGAGTGAGTGACTCTTTCCAACACCCCCCCACCCCACGCCAATCGGCGATCCTAAACGACGTGTCTTGTTTTTCTTTTTTGTGCAGTCAGTATATCTACGACGGCACATTCTTGGCCAAGGAGGAGCTCATCGTGGTCATGGGCAACGTGGACCGCTTCAACCGCACCAACTCGCTGACCTTCGAGATTGATCTGCTCATCCTGCAGGTGGACAAGTTCGATCTCAGCACCTACGACAAGGACATTGCCCTGCTCCGGCTGAACGACTCCGTGCCGAGCAATCATCCCACCATTCGGCCCATCGATCTCGCATCCATCGCAGTGCCAGCGGACACCGTCTGCCAGGTGACGGGCTGGGGCACCACGGAGGCGGGTTACAGCTCCGACTACCTCATGACCGTCGACGTGCCCATGATCAGTGAAGAGGTGTGCATCAACGACAGCGAGCTGGGCGAACTTATCAAGCCCGGCATGGTGTGTGCCGGCTACCTGGCGGAGGGGGAGCGTGACGCCTGCAGTGGCGATTCCGGGGGTCCCCTGGTCTGCCGCAGCCAGCTGGCCGGCATTGTATCCTGGGGCATGGGCTGTGCCCAGCCAAATCTTCCGGGCGTTTACACGGAGGTCTCCTACTACTACGACTGGATCCTGGAGCAGATCGATGGGGATGTGGGTAGTGGCGAGGGAAGTGGTGGTGAAGGAAGCGGTGAGGAACCTGGTGATGGAAGTGGCGAGGGAAGCGGTGAAGGAAGTGGTGATGACAATGCAGATGGAGATGGCGATGGTGCCATGGCGGCCCTTGCAGGAGCCCTTAGCATCCTGCTGCCAGGCCTCCTCTGCCTCAAATTGCTTTTAAGCCACCTCTAATCTATATTCCCTCTCCTAGTAGCAAATAAAACTGTATTAACTAATTTATATGTATATCGAACAGAGAACAGACAAAGAAGCCCTGTAGCTCCCCTTTGGAGGAACGATCTGGCTTCTTGAGGTAGTCTCAGAGTCCATTTGTTCGGTTTCCTTTAAGCTGAAAGCTGTATTGGTTGTAGTGGATGGCTTTTCATCTGTCATCTGTCATCCGTCATTCGCTTTGGAATTTCACTCAATTCAATAGCCCACACTATTGTAGAATATAAATATTCCCCCCATGAAACTCTCGCTGTTGCTCTGGCTAGCGCTGGTCCGAATTGTGTGGAACCAAACGAGAATTGGGATTGAGGAGGAAGAACCAATTCAAAAAGGCAGAACAGCGACTACCAACGCGACCACCAACGCGACCACCAACGAGACTGCCAACACGACCGCCAACGCCGCCGTATCGATCGGGCACCTGGCGTCGTTGCGAATGCTGAAGATGGATCGCATCCAATTTGGGGCAGGACACGTCTGTGCTGGGTCCCTGATCCGCGTCAATGCAGTGCTGACCGCTGCCCAGTGCTTTGTGAAGTAAGTGATTGTTGGACCTGAAGGGCTGGAGAGCCTCTTTACATATATCTGTTGTTCCAGCAAGGAGCTCTATGATGGTAGCTTCCTGCCCATTTCCGACTTTATAGTGGTGCTGGGAACACCCAACCGGTTCCAGGGGAGCCTCAGCACCATGATCTTCCGGCTGAAATATCGCGTCTTAATGCAGGACGTGTTCGATCTGAAAATGTTCGAAATGGACGTGGCCGTAATCATCCTCTCATCCTCTGTGCCCGAGCAGCATGCTGTGGTGAAACCCATCAAGATCACCGATCAAACCTTTAGACGTACCACCGAGTGCCATATGTCCGGCTGGGGCCGCGATCCACACGGCTATAGCTCTGAGTCAATAGTGTCCGTTGCCGTCACAGTCATCGGCCCCCGCATATGCCGCCTCAAGCAGTTGACGCAGGAGTTCTTCGTGTCACCGGGAATGCTCTGTGCCAAACACCTGAACAAGCTAAAACGCAGCTTCTGCACCGGGGACGTAGGCGGTTCGCTGGTGTGCCAGGGGGAGCTGGCCGGCATCATATCATGGGGCGTCAAGTGCTCAGATCCCTACCATCCCGGCATCTACACCGATGTTCTATACTATACCCAATGGATAAATGAGAGCCTGGCCAATCCCACCCAACTGGAAGAATACTTCGCGCAGATCGGTAAACCAGAGGCCAGTGCGGCAACGGGCATAAGACCGAGACCCTGCCTCATTCGTTCCATGCGTTTCTTTGTTCAATCAATATACGATCGAAAAATATTGAACATGCTCGGATATATTTTATATAGGACCTGACGGAGACAGCAATATTTCGTCAAAAAACGAATCTTAATTGCAAAAGAAAAAAAATTGATGACTTACTGATGCATTAATACTTTATTTACACTATTGTCAGAGCAATTTAGTTTGTGCCCTCTTTTTAATTAATTTTTTTGTTTTTGTTTACCCAACCTCAACTTTTGATTCGGTTATTGGAGTGCCTCCATCTATGGGAGAGTGGCGGAAGCACCGGTTTTAAGTCGAACGCGTCCGCTAGGTGCCGCCGCAGAGAGATAGGCATCGAACAGCATCGATTTCACGAGCGATCAGCTGTCGCGATTTATCGAAGCACTGCCATCTCAATTGGACTTGTGGGGCAGATTTTCAAACGTATTCATAATAGTGTAAATGGCCTAGAAGATTCTTCCGTTTGAGAAAAAAACATCGATGATTCACATTCAAACAATTTATATTTGGCGCTCAAGTTTGGTGGGACTTTTTTGGGATTTTCTCTGGGATTTTTCCTCGCCACAATGTCCTTTTTCCCCTCAACAATGTCCCCTTACGGCACATTCCATCCTCACTTACGTTTTCTTACGTGTTATGCTGTTGGCAACATTCAATTTGTATGGACCAGACTCATGTGCCGTGAAATCGAGCAACATGGTGCGGATTCAGCAACATTTTGAAATCCCTGGGGAAATGGATGATCTAGAATGGAGGAAATGTTTGTTATCTAATGCACCAATATAGTCCAAAACTAGTCAGTCTCTGTTTTAAAGGTATTTAAACGACATTTTGAAGGTAGTGTTCTTCTTACAGAAACCAAGAATGGGTATCGGGATCGAGATATATGTATTTACAATACCCTAATCATATGCATTAATATGTCTAAAACATAACAATTTGAGATAATTTGTTTATTAATTACGTTTTAAAACAGCTGGGAAAAACAGTTTCTTCATATATATTAACGAAATAGGGTATACCTGTGCACAAACTCCGGTTGACGTTACACTCCATACTCACTTACGTTGCCACTGTTTTTTTGTTGACCTTTTTTGCCTAAACCTTGTTTTATACACTATACAATAAAAGAGAGTACTTAAAAGTAGTCAATCAGGTAGACAATTTATTCATTAATGGTCTAAAATTATGTGGGCAGAGCTAATAGTTTTAGTTAGGCAGCATTATTCAACGGAATAAAGAAATTGAACAATTGGAACGATTTTTCTCTTACGTTTTATTACGTTTCATTTGTTTGACCTTTTTCGCTAAAACCTTTTTTTAAGCAAAATCCAAAAAAAGCAAGTATTAAGCCAGTTAAGTAGAAAATTGATTCATCAATCGTATAAAAATATGTGGGCATGGCTAAATGTTCTATATAGCTGGGAATATTCGACGGAATAAAGAATTGTGCAATTGGAACGATACTCGTTTGCTTATACTACTGTTGTATGAACAAAAGTGCCTTGTGCGTATGCTGCTGTAAGTCCTGATGTCACAGGGCACTCCCCAAAAACAGCCGCTGTTCCACGGCTATTCCGTGCTTTCCACCTTCTTCTTCCACCAGCTGCGCCCTTTGGCGCGGTTGTGGCCCACTACTCCGCCCTGCCTCAGCCTCCAGAAGACTAATTTTTTGGAAAAAAATTGAAAAATGAAGAAGAACAGACCTGGACTGGAGATGGGGGTGGAACAGCTGTTCGTGTAAAAACTGCATCTGGACACCGGCGTCTTCATGGTTCTGGCGTCTAGTGTGATGGAAAGACCGACAGGGTCGCGTGTGCCGTGGGGACTGCCGTGAGGCCTGCTCCACGTCTGCCAGTAAAGGCCCCGCGAGCCCCCTGTTGCCAGCCGGCTGCTGTACTCGTGCCAGGAGCACATTGGCCGCACCTTGACCGAGTACAGCGAGGGGAACCCTTTAAGGATGTGGGCGATGCGCACGCCCTGGACGTGTCGGTGGCGCAGCGGTGCATCTACTGGGCTGACCAAGACCAAGTGCATCTTCCGTGCCTTTCTCAATGGCTCCTATGTGCAGCAGATCGTGGACTCGGGTCTGATTGGGCCGGACGGCATCCGATGGTCCGATGCGGAGGCTGGTCTCATCGGGGTCGCCCGCCTGGATGGCAGCAGTCGGCGCGTACTCTTGTGGAAGAAGGTGGAGAAGCCGCAGACCCTGGTCTTCGAGCCGCGTTGTGGCTTCATATACTGGACAGAGTCGCCCTCGGACTCCATACGCCGCGCCACGATGGCCAGCCATGGCGTGGCGTTCGTGTTTGTATGACAAAATGTTTTCAAATAAAATAAAAAGTGGTTCTTGAGCTTGGGATACAAAATTGCAAAAACTCTGCGAATTGGCTAGGACTATCTGTGGGCAATTGGTGAAATTAAAAAATAAAAGGAAATGTTTGTTTTATAGTAGAAATTTTGCCGGAAATGCCCTATCTGGGCGTGGCGTGGCTCTTCGATGGATTGGGATTTTCGCCAGATATTATATACATATAGTAAATCTTGCCAGATTGCCGCATACCTTGATTAATTGGCGGATAAGGTTATGGGTACTTTCAAAATACCAAAAAATGCTCTACCCGAAATCCAAATCCAATCTCTGATCGCTTGGTTATCGGTACTGAACAATCAGTACTAAAAATAGTGCGAAACGAGACACAGAAAACTACACAAAAACTAAAATAAATGGCGCAATGAATGAAAACCAGCCCCAGTTTCAGTTCCCGCACTAGCCTCCGATATGAATAACTAATCTTTATTGGGGATCGATCGGACTGAACTGAAACTGAAACGGAGTGGACGGACGGTCTGGCGATTCGATCGCTCTTCTTCTATACCTCTCTCTCTCTCGCCGTGGAGGCTTTTGCAGACAAGGGCCAAGGAGCTTATGAGGCAATCCATATCCCAATCGCGTCGGAGCCACTCCATCGATGCAATAAATTTCCTATCTGTCTGATAGTTTCCGTATTACCGAGTACAGCCCAAGGTCTTGGGCTGTTACAACACCATTGACGTCTGCTCGTTGAGCTAAAATCAAATCGCTTTTGGAATGCTTCGCAATCTGAAAAACCCATCGATTCCAATCAAGTGCAATTCATCGATGTAATCTTCTGTCCGTTCCTGTACCTGATTAGGGGAAACAACTTATTTTGTGCCTTATCGAAGACGATGTAATACCCTTCAACAAAGTGTTGAATGTTTCAGCTTGTGAAAGCTGAATCATCTTTCTCAAAGAACTACAGTAAGCTCTAGGGATTCCGAACAGTTCTGCTAACAGACTTTCGCGTCAAAAATGGTCCTTTTACCAGGAGTTACTAATTCGTAGCTCCCAGAGCTTTGAAGTTCCTTTGCGAAACAGAAGCCATGATCTTGCTCTTGTGATCTCCATCTCCATTTAAATCCCAATACGATCCTCCGAAGATCCTTTGCTGCTAAAGTTTCTTTGAGAAACAGAAGCCATGATCTCGCTCTTGTAATCTTCATGTCAATTTAAATCCCAATACGATCCCCCGAAGATCCCACAACATTCATATAAATTGCAAAAGAAACAAGTAGAAATTGCTCTACATATAAGCAAATGTGGAGACTGCTGACGACTGAGGCTCTCTTATCGATGATTCCCGATGGGGAACGGTGGGGTTTGGTTGTGTGGCGTGTGGCGTGTGTTTGTTTGTTATTCGAGTGCCAGTGGGGCTGATGATCGGTCGGACAGTCGGGCAGTCGTGCCAGTCCGTTTGGGTCGTATGTCGCTATTGCAGGGCACCTTTATCGCTCTAACAGCACAACAAAACCAACAACAACAACAACAACAACAAACACAACGGCAAAGTGGGCACGAGAATCGGACTCAAATCTCTCACGAAACCAAAACAAAATTATGGAATTATCTAAGAATGCTTATTTGCGAATTTAGAAAAAGGAAATGCTCGGCTCTGAACTCCTCACATTCATCGTTCGAAGCTCCCGACAGGTGGGCGCGACAGTTACTCGCGACATTAAATATTAAATATCTGATCCGATCCGATTAATTTTTTTGTAACCATCACACCACAGGTGGAAGAACCTCAGTTGTCTCCCTCTCTCTCTGTGTTTTTTTGTATTATTTGTTTTTGTTTTGTGCGACTTAAACATCGATCGACATGCAGCTGAACGATCATTATCGCAAGATCATGAAGATACTGATCTTTGCATTCCTGTGCACCGAGATGCAGACGAGTAAGTGCTACAATCGATATTCTACGATCCGATCGTTCGTATTTAATCGACACCTGATATCAACAAGTTTCAATGTTCGAAGGAAATCAGTTATCAAATCCGTTTGATTAGGATAGGATTAGCAGGAGATACTAATCTAAACAAAATAGTTTGTGAGATCAACATCGAATAGTGAGTCCGTGAGACCCAGCAAGAGCTCGAATCAAGATAGAATAGAAGATAGAATTTATAGATGGGTAGATGGATAATGCATCGCTTCAGTTCAGACATTAAAAAGGTTCAATTATACTCAGAGAAAAATGGCATAGTCAAAAGAAACACGAGTATTTCGCTGAGTGTATAGAAGGGTATGGATATTGTATCGCTTGAGTTCAGGCCTTAAACAGCTGTAATTATTGATTGGATCTAAACTGAATACGCCCTCCACAAACAAAAACCATGATCTCATGGAAAACACTATACGAAACCAATACCTTATTTTTTTTTGGAGGACTGAACCCCACGATTATCCAAAGTGATCAATTGCTGAATGAACCATGGCGTGCTAAAGCTCAAGTGTGTGTGTTCCCGGCAGTGCTGTAGGAACGGAACGTAGTAGCTGTCATATCTACCTACGACTAGGTATGATACCTGCTGGGAGGTGAAGTGGGGGGGGGGAGGAGTGTGGTGGAGTAGGAAAATGAGTGGCCTGATCGTGCCGCTCCGTAGTATGGCCGGGCGCGTGTGCACTCGACCGTCCGCCAGTCGCGCAGTATCGATATTACTGTCCAAGCAGACCATTGACCATTCGACTACGCTGCCCTCTGATAACGATGATAAGAGGGGAATCCGATTCGTTCCGTTCCGCTTTCGTCTGCTTTGCCACTCCGATGCCGTTGCCGTTGCCGTTGCCAACTGCATTTGGCAGTAAGTGGCTGACTGTTTCCAAGGTGGGGATCCGGATTCGATCGAATCGTTCGTTTTCTTATCACATCCTCCTCGTTAACCTTCACCCCGAATCCACTAACCTTCTAGCGTTCACGCATCGCGATCTGGCCAAGAAGCGCAGCATTGGAATGGCCCCAACCGGGGGAGCTCTGACAGAGGGAAGAAGTGTCGCCGCCTGGTCACAGGTGGCCTCATACCAGGCCTCCATCCGTCTGCTGGCCCACGAGCGTGACTACTTTGGCAAGGGACACATCTGCTCGGGGGCCCTGGTGGCGCCCTCGGTGGTGCTCACGGTGAGCAGCTGCGTCTACAGGTGAGTGCAGGGCCAGGAGTCCTGTCAGAGGGGATCCCGACTGATCTCTCTGATATTATAGCCATGCACGTAGGAAGCACTATCATCCGGCGGAGCTGCGCGTCATACTTGGCAATCGTCAGCGCTTTGCACCCAACGATCAAGGACTCACCATGGGGGTAACGCATGTCCACCAGCCACCGAAGGATCTGGCCCTGGCCATACTCATGTTGGAGCGGGATATACCAGTGGATCATCCCCAGGTCCAGTCCGTTCTGCTGCCCCATCCAGAGCAGCCATCCAGTTCGCTGTCGGAAACCTCCCTGCAGATCAGCACTTGGGGCTACGATGGACACAGCCGCGAGCTACACGACCTGCTCACCCTGAATGCCACGCAAATGTCCTGCCAGCAGTCGCGGGCACAGCCACAACCTCAGCCCCAGAGAATCTGCGTCCAGGCTGAGACTATGACATCGTTCGGAGGACAGCTCTTCATGGATGCCGGGGCCACGCTAACGGACCGAAATCAACTGCTGGGACTGTGCAGTGCGGACGGTGGTGGCTTCGTGGACGTGGCCAGCCATGTGGAGTGGATCCTCACGCAAATAGGCGATGGCTCCAATCAGAACAGCTCCTTCTGGGGCGTCCTCTTGGTCCTCGCCTTCACAGTGTATGTACTGACAGTGAGTCGAAAGTCCCTGCTCGCATAGGATTAGGATTTATTCCTTATTGGAAGTTACACACATATATAGATATATATACAGATGATTCTGCCTAGAACTTAGACAGATGAACGTTGAATGTGATAATCTCGAGTAATAATACATTAACAAATAAATATACATATTGTAAATAAGACGGAACCCATCCTAATCCAACAAAGCTCTGACCAGTTTGCACTCTCCTTCTGCGCCCTCTGCAGCTTCTCCTCCTCCGCATAGCAGCATCAAAGGTGCTTCCGTTTGTTGCAAGTCCTCGCCGGATTGCACCAACGGAATGGACCACTGCAGGCCGTCTCCTTTGTGGCCGTAGGAGTGCTGTAGCCATCCACCCACCTGGCCGTAGGTGAACAAGTAGAAGGGCTTTGACTCTGGCTGTGTGAGCACCAGCAGGTAACGATCTCCGGCTACGAACAGAGGGATCATCTGCTCAATGGGCTCCTGGAGGCGCAACTGCTGTAGCGGCACAAACCGCGGACCGTCCTCGTGGGTGTGATTGTGGTTCAGAATGAAGATGGCTATGTGGCGACACCGCCGGCAGCTGAGCATTAGCTGATCCTCCTGGAGCTCGGCCAGGTCGTAGTCGCCGCCAATTAGCTGGGCGAGCTGGAAGCGCTCACTGAATGCATCCCTCCAGTGGATGGAGAGTGCCGGACGATGCCTGTGCACTCCACTGGCCAGCAGGAGATTCATCTCGTACTGCTCCTCATTCTCGTTCTCCTTCTTTGGCTTCCTTATGCGAATAACCTTCATCAGGCGGCCATCAACCGATTCCAGGGACTGCCAGTCGGTTAGGCTGCAGTTGTTCGTGTTCAGCCGCAGGATGCGCACTTCGATTCCACTGCCTAGCAGGATCAATCTCTCATCCAGCATCGCCAGCTGCTCCACTGGCTGGCGCATACCCAATGTGAAGGACTCATTCCTGCACTCGATCCGGATGGTGCTGCGGATCCGCTTCACCGGAAGCTGGCAATGATTCTGCACTTTCACGCGTATGTCCCCAGAGTCCAGACGCAGCATCTCGCTGGACAGACTAACGTTGGTCAGGTGGACCCTCGCTGGCCGCAACTGGAGCTGGGCCCTTAGCTGGCGGCCCTGGCAGATGGCGGAGGACTGCTGGCCGAGTCTGAGCCTGCCCTGCAGGTCAAAGGACTCGTTAGTTTTGCCCCAGAGCGCCTTTAGCGGCTGCAGGTCGTAGTCCAGGTACAGCAGTCGCCGCTTACTGGCCTTCTTCTCCTTCATCGCCTTCTGCAGCAGCAGATCCTCCAGATTCTCGGGGTCCCGCTCGTTGGACGCGTCACGCAACTGGTTCTCTGCCGAATCCACATAGAGCAGGCCGGCCGGAAAGATGGCTTTATCCAGCCACAGGCTATCGATATTATAGTCGCGATCCTTAAAGATGCTCTGTCGATAGCTCTCGCTAAGATCCCTGCCATTGAGGTGCATCACATGACCGGGTCCCTCGAACTCCACGCCGCCCGCAAAGGTCTTGATGCCGCCAAATGCCTGCAGCCGACGACTATGCCGATATACGGCATTCTCCAGCCCAATGCCGTTAATGGACCGCAGCAGGGGTCTCCCCTCGAGGATCAGCCGCTCGAAGCTTAGGCCACCAAACACTTCCATGGTGGGGCCACGCAGTGGCACGCGATGCTCGAAAAAGTAATCCAGGCTCATCTCATTGACGCTGCCCAGGCGCAGGTCCTGCTCCACTCGCAGCTGCCTGAAGCTGGCCCGTGGCCAGGGTCTGCCGCCGCCCTGCACAAAGATTCCCTCGATACTGGCACCGTTCACCTGGCGGCCCTGTCCCAACACCAGTCTGCCCAGACGGGGGGTCTTTTCAAAGCGCAGCTCGGCATGGATAGCTCCTCCATGCGACAGGCGGTAGAGGGAGGCATTTAGTCGCTCCAAATCGATGTCGTTCAGCCGTCCAAAGTGTCCATCGCCTGCCAGGTCCAAACATCTGGCCCAGACCGGACCCAGCAGCTGCTGGGGGGCCTCCACTAGCTGGCTCTCATTGCTGGCGGTCCATCGGAGCAGGGCATCGGCCGCTAGGTGGGTGAAGTTGAGGTCCGCTTGCAGCGGCTGTTGCTGGCTGGTGTGCAGCCTCTCCAGGCGGGGCTGCCGCAACAGCACGTGTCCGGCAATCGTTTGGTTTCCCTCCCGCCGCACTGCATGCTCTCGGAGATACTTTAAGTGGCTCTCGGGTGCCTCCCCCTTTTCCTCCTGCCAGAGGGCATCGCCAGTCACCACCAAGCGCCGCCACGGCTGCTTCCACAGCGCCACCAGTCGACTGTCCAGGCCTTCCAGTCCCAGATCCTTGGGACACTTGAGACTCCCATTGACATTCAAGTGCTGCACAGTGAGATCTCCCTGCAGCAGAAGCTCCTCACGACGCGTGTCCACAAAGAGCTCGGCAGGCACTCCATTTAGCCGGGGAACATCCACATTGCTGGCCCTCATTCGGAGGCAGCTATAGGCTCCAGTGATGGCCTGAGGCGTGGTCCGGAGCAGGGTGTTGTCCAGCAGGCTGCTCAGATCTAGGCCATTAATATGCGGCGACTGCAGGGCGTCGCTCAGCTGTACGGGGGCCAGGAAGGTCTTGCGGCCCTCCAGCACGGCATTGGCATCGGGACGTACCAGGCGCGACATATAATCCTCCCACTGTATCCCATTGACATCCTGCAGGTGGAGGCCGCTCTCGAATCGGACATTCCCCTCGATGAGCAGCTGCTTGCGGAGCAACAGCTGCGGCGTATCCCCATCCTCTGTGCCGGCCGAAAGCTTTCCCAGCAGCTCGTCAAAGGCCAGACCGTTGAGGCGTCGAAAGTGGAGACTCTGCAGGTGCACTGGCCTCTGGTCCTTCAGCTCGAGGCGCTGCAGGCTGAGGGCATGGCCCAGCAGCTGGCCGAGTGGCAGTCCATTCAGGCGACTCACATTCAGATTTTTCCCGATCTCCATATCTGTTCCGATGACCAAACGCTGGAATTTCTTGGCTCCGGTGAAATTTAGGGCGGATTGGGACTTGAGCACCAGTTCATCCACGGGCACACCGTTCAGCTGCTGGCTGAGCAGCGTCTGCACAGTTAGGGGTTCGGTGAAATGCTTGTACCCTGTAATGTTCGCGAGCTGGCCATGACGCACTGCCTCTCGCGAGATCAGGGCCAGGCGGGAGGTGTAGTCGCGGCAGAGGATGTCACCCTCGACGCTGACATTCATGAAGATGATTTTCAACGTGCGGTTGCCTGTCCCCACTTGGCTGCCTCTGGTCAGCAGATGCTCCTCCACGGGATGGCCCTGTATATGGTTGGTGGCCAGTGAGGGTGTCGTGACCTTGGCATTCCCAAATATCAGTTGTGTTAGGTTCTGCGGAGTGTGGGCCAGCAGGTAGGTGGAGTGGAGGTCCTTCTTAGTCAGCGATTGGCCTGTGGATAGCAGGAGGCGCGACTTCTGGGTATCCCTTAGCACATTGTTCAGCGTCAGGGATCCCTTGATGGTCACCCTGCCCGTGTAGTACTGCTGCAGGCGATGGTTCTCCATCTGCATCTGTCGTGGCTGCATCCACTGTCTGCTGGCTGTGTGATTGCCCACCAGGATATCCCCCGAGACGCTCATCTGGTAGATACGAACTGGCGCTGCAGGAGAGACAGAGATCGAAGGATAATCAGAGGAACTGTGGGTATCCTCTGTCCAACCACTTACTTTTTATCCACGTGCTGTTGCCGCCGCGAAAGACTATGTCACGGGCAAAGTCCAGACCATTGACACGTCCCGCCTCCAGGCGGGACACATAAAAGGCTGACATGTAGAGATTGGAGCTGACCACCTGGTGGCGCCTCAGATTGAACAGCTTTGGCACCACCAAGCCATTGAGCAGTTCCGTCTGGAGGTTCACGACTCGCGACCGCGACTGAAAGATGAGGCGTCCCTCCAACTGGGAATCGCGGGAGCGTAGGAATAGCGAGTCGTATAACTCAAACCAGGACACACCATTGATGCGACCCACATGCAAGTGACGCACCCGTAAATCCGCCTTGGGGGATCCACTCGAAGGGGCAACAGTTGTATGGTTCTTCTGGTAGTACTGGGGCGTGAGCAGGTGCTCTGTGTGCAGCGCCTTGGTCAGCAAGGGTTCCCTGAGGGTCAACAGAGAGGAGTCTAGTGTGTGGCCTGGGGATGGACAGATGGGCAGTCTATAAGTGTCTGGAGACAAGGGAATCCCTGCAACTTACCTGGCAGCAACTGGCCCTGGTAGATGAGATTCTTGACATGCAATCGCTTCACCTTCAGCCGCTCTATGGCATCGCTGGAGTCATTTCCCGCACCAAAGGATCTCGGGACACGGCCACGGCGTATGGGTATGGCTACGAATCGTTCACGCAGCTGCTCCAGACGCTGCCTAAGCTGTGTGGGAGTGCGCAGGTGGCTGCCCACCAGCTGCAACCGTTGGATGCGTCCTTTCGCAGCCAAATGGAGGGGTTTCTGCAAGTGAATCGAGGAGTGATGTTGGAGTAGCTTCTGCCAACGACTTAGTTCTTCCATTGAAGCTTTGCGGCGCAGCAGGAGGCTCCTCAGGCTCGATAGGGTATCCTCGAACTCGTGGCGATGCATCTGCACGATGCTCAGATCTTCTCTTCCCACTTGGTTGCTGGTCTTCTCCTTTTTCTCCTCATACTGCTGCTCTCCGCCTAGCTGCACCAGGCGCACCAAATCACTCGAGGATCGGCGGTAGGTCAGCAGCAGGTAGCTCTCGTTCTGTCCATTGCGATGGCTGAGCAAACCGCTGGGTTCCACGTCCCCCCGCACAACAAATCCGTTGTAGCAGTCCAGCCGCTGGCTATTGAAGACGAGCACTTCGCCATTAGGGCGTGCGCCTATCAGGAGACGCCCCTGCTGGGCCACCGTCAGGCGGGAGAAGTGCAGATCTCGCTGGACGTGTTTGCGATACACCACAAACTGTCCCTCGACCATGCGGAAGAAAAGGCAGGAGTCGGTAGAACCACCAGTAGTGCTCACATTGGAGCCAGATGCGGACGAGGAGCAGGCAACGAAGGAGTTGCGTTCACGAAAGCGGAACGCCAGCACATGCCGCGCCTGAGTGGTCAGGGTCTGACGAGTGCGCAAGCGCATCGTCGCG